TCTCTCTCTCTCTTTTCTTGAGGAAGATTGGCCCTGAGCTAACATCTGCCAATCCTCCTCTTTTTGCTGAGGAAGACTGTCCCTGGGCTAACATCCATGTCCATCTTCCTCCACTTTATATGGGACGCCTGCCACAGCATGGCCCGACAAGTGGTGCGTCGGTGCGCGCCAGGAATCCAAACCGGCAAACCCTGGGCCGCTGCAGTAGAGCGCGCACACTTAACCACTTGCGCCACGAGGCAGCACCTGGAACCTGCATTTCTAACAGCTTCCTGATAGGCCTCAGGCCTGGATGAGCTGCTTGAATTGGCAAGGGGTTTGGTCCCCTACCAGTGTATAGGACTAGTTGTGGCCTTTGGTGGCAACTGCTTCTGGGATGGTTTGGGCTGGAACGCTGACTGCCTTCCTGCTGCCCAAGAGGCTCTGTGCATTTTTACTTAGAGAGCATTTTTTTTTTCCTGACCAATTTGGCCCATTGTTCTTAAGGGGTAATTTAAGAAATCCTTCCCAAACTAATCTCATCTTTTTTTTTCCTACTGTATAACTCTTTTCCCATTTAGACAATGTGAAATATATACATATCACAAATGTAGGGAAGGAACAGGTATTTTGCTGTAGGCTGGCAATTTTAACGATGATAACTATAGGTATTTTTGTTCAGGATGCAGACTAAACCCTCCATCTATCATAATGTTTGGCACGTGGAGCTCTACAAATCTGCTGACTATCGAATGCTCAGAGGTTGCCTAGAGAACCTTTTGTAAACATCAGTATTACTTAGAATACTTGAATCGCTGAGAGAAACTTTAGTAATTTATTCTGAAATCCTCACTTTAAAAAATGAGTAAACTGAAGCTCAGAGAGGTATATTGTTATTCTCATGTCTGTGGGAACAAATATATGACATTTTGTAAATTTTAGATGAAATATTAATGACGATAATGGTGATATTTGTAAATCACCATATTTGATCTTCATAATATCCCTGAAAAATGGGCAGAGAAGGCATTATTTAAGTGAGGCTGCCCCAAGAGCACATTCCTTAGCTGGGTTTTCTACATCCATGTCCTCTTAGAAAGGACTGTTCTTTTTAAGGTATAGTGTAATGATTTAGTGCCACGCTCTGGAGTCAAATTTCTTGACTTTACCACTTAACCTTGAACAAGTGGATTAATTTTCCGAACCTTGGTATTCTCATTTGTAAAAGGGAGACCATAGTTTATACCTCGTAGGGTTATTATGAGGATTAAGTGAAATAATATATGCAGAATGCTTAGAAAATTACACGGCATATAAAAGCACTCAGCACTGTTAGCTATGGGATTATTAGCTGTTTTTAAAAGGCCCCATCCTACAGCGGTTCCTTGACTTATTTATGCTTATTGCTTTGCCTACATGGGTTTTCTTTTTTTTTTTTTTAATAATTTTATTTATTTATTTATTTTTCCCCCACAGCCCCAGTAGATAGTTGTATGTCATAGTTGCACATCCTTCTAGTTGCTGTATGTGGGACGCGGCCTCAGCGTGGCTGGAGAAGCGGTACATCAGTGCACGCCCGGGATCCGAACCCGGGCCGCCAGCAGCGGAGCGCGCGCACTTAACCACTAAGCCATGGGGCCGGCCCCTACGTGGGTTTTCATATGTATTAAAGACGATAGTCCTGTATCAGGTTGATTTGAGCTTTAAGTAAAGGAAAAGGTAACTCAATGTGGCTTACCAGTAAGGAAATCTAATAGCTTACTCAACTCTAAGTCTAGAGGTAGGCCAGTCTCCAGGGTTGGTTGATTCCTTCTCAATGGTCCACCAGCCACAGTGGCCTTCATCCTATGGCTGGTTCCGTCATGGTTGCAAAATGATTATGAGTATCAATAAGGATAATAGTTTCTTCCTTTTTAACATCCAGCAGGAAAAAGAGAAAGGAAATCCCCAGGCATGGAATATAGATCTTTCCCTCTCATCTGATTGTGAGTACTTGGTGTACGTGCCCTCTCCTGCATCACACAGTTGCCAGGAGGTTGCCATGGGCTGGTTGACTTAAGCCTGGGGTCCTGAGCTGTCCCTGGCAAGGGACATGAGCTTGCCATTCACTAGCCCAGCTTGGTTCAGCCTAACCCCCTGGAGTTGGGGCTGGATAGAGACAGAGCAGAACTGGGCTCCATTAGGAAGGATAAAGGGAGAAATGGACGCGGCATAGGCAACCAACAATATATGATGTACAGGTATAGATTAGAAAAGCAACATGGTTTTGATAACTATAATAATCCTTGGATTCTCTTTATCATTTTCACAGTATATTATGTAAAAATGTCTTTTATCTTGAAGGTTAATTAATTACATTATTTGTATATTTCAGAAAATGTTAGCAAACTCAAGAAACTTGAATATTTGAATTTAGCTTTAAACAACATTGAAAAAGTTGAAAATTTGGAAGGTAAGAATTTCCTTCTCATACTTTATTATGAATTAAAATTGAGATTTAAAATTAGGTTTAAACAGTATTGCTTAAACAACAGCTACACTTTTCAAATTAACATTTTACTTAAGTCTTATGTTTATTAATTCTTGTAAAAAATTCAAGCAATAATGTGGTACATGAATTCAGAAATGGAGGTCCACTTCACTGCTTCCTAACCCAGCCTCCTTCCCGGACATAGCGATGTTAACAATTTGGTGTACAGAAGATAGTTTTGTTTCATTTTGCTTTGTATCAGTAGGATCATACTGTGAGTATTATTTTGAAAATTAATTTCTTCCCTGAAATTATGCTGTTCTTGGGTATCCAGGAAAGGTAGGGGCTGTGTACCAGATTGATTCTAACCATTTTTCTGCAGATGGACATTTGGGTGGTGTCCAGCATTTCGCTATAACACGCATGGCTGCAAAGAGCATCCTTTTACATTTCACTCTGTGTACCTGTGTAAATTTTTTTCTAGGATAGATACTAGAAATGGAATTAGATATTCGAAATGGAATTCCCAGTGGCCGGCCCGGCGGCGCAAATGGTTAAGTGCACATGCTCCACTGCGGCGGCCTGGGGTTCGCCAGTTCGTATCCCGGGCGCGCACGGACGTACTGCTTGGCAAGCCATGCTGTGGCGGCATCCCATGTAAAGTGGAGGAAGATGGGCAGGGATGTTAGCCCAGGGCCAGTCTTCCTCAGCAAAAAAAGAGGAGGATTGGCAGATGTTAGCACAGGGCTGATCTCCTCACAAAAAAAAAAAAAAAAAAAAAATGGAATTCCCAGGTTTAAATATGTCTATTTTGAAAAATGTTGCCAGTTGTTCTCCAAAAAGGTAATATCAATTTACACTTGTACTGATAGTCCATCCATGCTAGTACTCATTTTGACACTACTTTGCTAATACGTTTTATAAGCAATCTTTTTTTTAAGATAGGAAGACATTGTTTTGTAATTTTTAAAATTTGCACCTCACTTATTGTTATTGAGATTCTGTGTAACTTTTCGGATGTTTATTGAATATTTGTATTTCTTCTTACGTGAATTACTACTTCATATCTTTTGGCCATTTTTCTGTTGATTTATCTTTTCATTATGTGCTCCTGTGCATTCCATATGTTAATCCTTTGTTATATATGTTATAAATATTTTCTCTTGTCCACTACTTTTCTTTTTTTTCAATTATGCTGGTATCATTCAAAAGTCTTACATTTTAATATACTCAAATTTATTAATCTTTTTCTTTATAGTTTCTGAATACAAATATATCCTATATTAAGTTCTAATTTTGATCATTTAATATTTTACATTTAATCTCTCTAATGCATCTCAAATTTATCATGTAAAAAAGGAATCAAAATACTTTTTTCCTCAAGGTATCTGTTAATGGAAATATTTGGATCATCTAGTCTTTTCATAATTGAGATATAATTTATATACCATAAAATTCACATTTAAAATATACAATTGAGTGGTTTTTAGTATATTCACAAGATTGTGCATCCATCATCACTGTTCCATTCCAGAACATTTTCATCACCTCGAAAGAAACTCCATATTCAGTAGCATTCACTCCTCATTCACCCCTCGCTCTATCCCCTAACAATCACTAATGTACTTTCTGTCTGCATAGATTTTCCCATTCTGAACATTTCACATAAATGGAGTCACACAATATGTGGTCTTTTGTGTTTGACTTCTTAGCGTAATGTTTTCAGGATGCATCCACGTTGTAGCATGTATCAGTACTTCATTCCTTTTTATAGCTACATAATATTCCATTGTGTGGATAAACCACATTTTTTTTACCCATTCATTAGTTGATGACATTTGGGTTGTTTCCACTTCTTGGTTATTATGAATAAAGCTGCTATGAACGTTAATGTACAAGGTTTTGTGTGAACATATGTTTTCAATTAATTTAGCATATACGTAGGGATAGAATTGCTGGGTCATATGGTAACTCTATGTTTAACTTTTTGAGTAACTGTCAAACTGTTTTCCAAAGCAGTCATACCTTTTTACATTCCTACGAGCAATTTATGATGGCTCAGATTTCTCCACATCCTCGCCAACACTTGTTATTTTCTGTTTTTGATTATTTATTTCTGATAGTAGCCACCCTAGTAGGTGTAAGTGATATCTTGTTATGGTTCTGATTTGCATTTACCTAATGACCAGTGAGACCTAATGACCAATGTGCTTATTGACCATTTTTATATCTTCTTTGGAGGAATGCTTATTCAAAAACTTTGCCCATTTTTCAATTAGGTTATTTGTCTTTTTACTGTTGAGTTGTAAGGGTTATACACTAGTCCCTGATCAGATATGATTTGTAGATATATTCTCCCATTTTGTGAGTTTTTTTGTCAGCTTTCTTGATGGTATCCTTTGGAGCATAATTTTTTTTTAATAGCTTTATTGAGGTATAATTGATATACAGAAAACTGTACATATTTAATATATACAATTTGATGAGTCTAGACATACACATATATCTGTGAAGCCATCACCACAGGCAAAGTAATAGACATATCCGTCACCTTCAAAAGTTTCCTTGGGTTCCCCCCCCCTTTTTTGTGGTAAGAACTCTTGATGTGAGATGAAAATTTTGAAGTGCACAATAAAATATTGTTAACTATAGGTGCTATGTTATATAGTAGATCTCTGGAACTTATTCATCTCATGTAACTAAAACTTTGTACCAGTTGAACTCCTCTCCATTTTGTCCTCCAGAAGCATAATGGTTCTTAAATTTGCCTGTAGTTTTCCTTTCTTGAGATGTCTATGTCTGGGTTTACTGTCGGGATAATATGGGCCTCAAAAATGAATTGGGAAGTGTTTCTTCCTGTTCTATTTTTTGGAAGAGTTTGTGAAGGATTGGTATTAATTTTTCTTTAAATATTTGGTAGACTACACCTGGAAGTCATATGATCCTGGGCTTTGCATCGAGGAAAACGTTTTCATTACTAATTTAATCTCTTGTTATAGGCCTATTCAGATTTTCTGTTTCTTCTTGAGTCAGTTTTGGTAGTTTGTGTCTTTCCAGGAATTGTCCATTTCACCTAGGTTATCTGATTTGTTGGCATGCGGTTTTTCTTACTGCTCCCTTATAATCCTTTTTATTTCTGTAAGGTCAGTAGTAAGGTACCCTCTTTCATTCTTGATATTAGTAATTTGAGTTTTTTCTTGGTTAATCTAGCTAAAGATTTGTCGATTTTGTTGGTCTTTTCAAAGCACCAACTTTTGATTTTGTTGATTTTCTCTGTTGTTTTATGTTCTCTGTTTTGTTTATTTCTGTTCTAATCTTTATTATATCCTTCCTTCTGTTTGCTTTGTGTTGAGTTTACACTTTTTCTGGTTTCTTAAGATAGAAAGTTAGGTTATTGATTTGAGATCTTTCTTCTTTTTTTATTGTAGGCATTTACAGCTGTAAATTTCCCTCTGAGCACTTTATTTGCATCCATTAACTTTTGGTATGTTATGTTTTTGTTTTAATTCATCTCAAAGTATTTTCTGGATTCCCTTGTGATTTCTTCTTTGATCCATCAGTTATATGGAATAGTTGTTTAATTTCCATATGTTTGTGAATTTCCCAACTTTTTTTCTGTTCTTGATTTCTGGTTTCATTCCACTGGAGTCAGAGAACATACTTTCTATGATTTCAGTCATTCTAAATTTACTGAAATTTGTTTTATGGACTAACGTTTGGTCTGTCTTAGAAGATATTCCATGTGCACTTGAGAAGAATGAGTATTCTGCTGTTCTTGGGTGGAATGTTCTAAAGATGTTTTTTGATCTACTGGGGTTTTTTTAGTGTTGTCCTAATCTTCTGTTTCCTTGCTGATATTCTGTCTAGTTGTTCTATCCTTTATTGAAATCAGGGTATTCAAGTCTCCAAGTATTATTATTGAATTCTCTATTTCTCTCCAATTCTGTCATTTTTTGCTTCATGTATTTTGAGATTCTGTTGTTACTTGCATATATGCTTACAACTGTTTATTTTCTTGATGTATTAATCTTTTTATCATTATAAAATGCTGTGTTGTCTCTAGTAACAATCTTTGTCTTAAAGTCTGTTTTGTCTGATATTAGTATAGCCACTCCAGCTCTTTTTTTTTTTTGATTACTATTTGCATGGTATAACTTTTCACTTCCTTTAAATTTCCAACCATTTATTTCTTGAATCTAAAGTGTGTCTGGGGGCCTGCCCCATGGCTTAGTGGTTGGGTGCACATGCTCCGCTGCTGGCAGCCCGAGTTCGGATCCTGGGCACGCACCAACGCACCGCTTCTCCGGCCATGCTGAGACCTCATCCCACATACAGCAACTAGAAGGATGTGCAACTATGACATACAACTATCTACTGGGGCTTTGGGGGAAAAAAAAAAAGGAGGAGGATTGGCAATAGATGTTATCTCAGAGCCTGTCTTCCTCAGCAAAAAGAGGAGGATTAACACAGATGTTAGCTTAGGGCTGATCTTCCTCACAAAAAATAATAATAATAAATAAATAAAAATAAAAAAATAAAGTGTGTCTGTTTTAAACAGCATATAGATGGATCATGTTGTTGTTGATTTTTTTCCATTCTGTCGATCTCTGCCTTTTAGGTAGGAGGGCCTAGTCCATTTACATTTAATGTAGTTACTGATAAGGTAGAATTTATGTCTTCTATTTTGCTATATGTTTTCTATATATCTTATGTGTATTTTTCCCTCTGTTTCTCTATTACTACTACTAACTATCTTTTGTTAGAAAGATATTTTCTTGTATACCATTTTAATTTCCTTGTTTTTTCTTTTACTATATATTTTTGAGTTATTTTGTTAGTGGTTACCTTGGGAATAACAATTAATATCTTAATTTATAACAATCTAGTTCAAATTAATATCAACTTAACTTCAATAATTTATAAAAACCTTATATATATGTAGTTTTGTTTCCCTACCCTCCTTTATGCTGTTTATTGTCACA